CTATGATGAGTTGGCTGCCCATTAACAAACAGTGTCAGTTTCAGGATTCTACTGCACTGAATTGCAAAGGAAAGATCTGAACTATCAAAGATGGTTATAAGATCGCCATCTTCATCCTTATATTTTACTGTAACTTCATCGTTGCTCAGCAGTTTCCCCCTGAAAACTCTCTGCATCATCAGCACCAACTCATCATAGGTGATATCCTCATTGTGAATTGGAATTCTCCTAATATCATCACCCAGCTGAGCTTTAATTATAAGCTTTCCACTCAAATCCAGTTGGCCGTTCATAGTTACTACAGGTCTGTTTTGCACTGGTTCCCAAAATAATGATTCTTTTTACTTTCAGCTGGATGTCAAATGCCCCGCCATACAGTGCTGATTACCAAAATAGACAGTAGTGTACAATACCTTCTTCCTTTTCACCAGACAAATGGAAGGGCGAAATCTCGACCGGGCTTCCCTCCTTCTTCCCCTCACGATCCTCCGGCCGGTTACTCACTCCGCCGCCGCCGCCCCCCCCTCTGTGCGATCTTGTTGGTCGTTGGGAGGTAAGTGGCAGGAGTCTCTCAGGTAGCCAGGTCCTAAACCATGTATGGCTTTAAAAGTAACGACTAGCACCTTGAAGCGTGTTCAGAGACCAATAGGGAGCCAGATTGACACGATTGCAGGGTCCTCTTGGCAGGGGTCATTAAATGAGTCAATGGATAGCAGTGGGTGTATTCCTTGGGGTCGTTTCCCTGTATTCCCACCAGTGCTTCTTTCCTTCATAAAGCTGGCATCGCTGCATGGCTCAGAAGAGGAAGCCAGCCGAGCCGGAGGGGTTTTAACGTGTCCGCTTATCCTCCTCGTTAGGGTCGCTGGGTCTGGCCCCCAACTTCCTCAGACGGCAGCTGCAGAGCCCTGCAGGGGCCCAGTGGACCAACCCTCTGGGGGCTGAGGGTGGCAGCTGGAGCCCCCATTTACTCCCACTTAATGGCTGGCGTAGGGTGGATTTTGGCTGCTGTGCTCTCTGGATTTACAGGTAACCCTTGACTTACAATAGCTCACTTAGTGACCATTTGGCACAGAAAAAGGTGACTTGCGACTCTTTTTCTCACTTATGACAGTTGCAGCATCCCCACGGTCACCTGATCCAAATTCAGCCGCTTGGCAACGGACTTGTATTTATGACGGTCACAGTGTCTGGGAGGTATCGTGTGATCCGCTTATCTGACATAAGTGAAGCCAATAAAAACAGATTCACTTAATCCTAACTTAACTGTGGCAAGGAAAGTCAGAAAATAGGACAAACTTCACTTAACAAACTTCTCACTTAACAACATAAACGTGGGGCTCAATTATGGGTCATAATCGGGGACTACCTGTGCCTTACAGGAGAGTCCGGCCTTCCAGATTTCAGAAAGGCAACGTTGAAATATAAATGCTGCATTTAAAGAGATCTCTAACTCAATTTCTAAAATTCTCACTAAAAAGAAAAGAAAGGCAGCCCCTACCCATTTTGAAGCAATGCAGCTCCCGGAACAGCCGCTTGGGGGTCTGGGTGGGGGTCTTTCTTCTTAGGGCTGTCTCTGAGCAGAGGGTCAAACTTCAGGTACAGCGACTGCTTCCTCAAGACAGATTCCTTCAGCTGGGAGAAACACACTTGTGAAGTCCACACAGGCTGCCACTTCACACCTTGTGTATATGTGTGTGTGTGAGGGTGGTTGTGCCTAGGGCAGTGTTCTTACTTACCGAGGCCGATCCAAATTGCTCCAGGTAGTCTATTTGGGTTCCGAGAACTAAGAGGAGAAACAGACGCGACAGAGGTCAAACCTTCGCTACAGAATAAATGGCTGCTCTCAGAGACCCAATAAAAGCCAAGCCTTCCTGCTATTGATAGCCGCCCTTCTTCCCACTGGGCATTTCATCCATTTCACTCATGGCCAAAGAGAAACTACTTTGCCAAAGCTTCCAATCAAGAATGATTCTGAAATCATGACTAACGTGGATTAACAGATTAACACGGCTGCTTCTCTGAATGAAGGAGCGAGCGTGGAGGCTCTCTTGGAGGCTCACCTCGCCTTCATTCAAACTCCACTTTCAGCCTGGTGAAACTGCCCAGGGATTATGGTTGCAGCTCTTATTTTGCTTCTCTTTTTCGAAACGGTGGGCAAAAGCTTTTGGCTTATTAGCCGGGTTGCTATTGTCTGCACGGTTTCGGTGCGCTCTGCATAAATAATGTTCCAAACTTTTTTTGAAACTGGACAAGCAAAAACGAACAAACAGGGACACGTGACTATTGACCTAGTTTTGCTCATGGGAATCTTCCAATGTTGACTTAAGGCTCACACCTACCTTCCATGGGGGATCTGAATTCTTCATCTTCTGTGAAGAGCTGGTCACTCTCGCTCCCCGGTTCTGTCCTTCCCCAAAGGGCCCTGGGCACCAGATCGCCTGCAGGCAGCTGCCCACTCAGAGGCCCGTCTCCTTGGTCCCAGGCCTCAGATAAGATGCTCTCCGGCTTCTCCTAAGTAAACAATATTTGGGGGTGGGGCGGGAGAGGTGGGACGAGTTCAGCAGGCAGAGCAGTTAGTTCCAATCGCACACAGGGCTAAACATCCCCCTTTCGCTCTGCTGAGTGGTGCTATAACAGCACAATGGTCGGTGATTCCACTGCAGGCAGATTTCCCTAGCAGAAGTCTTGTCCTGCTAATCTCATTTGGCCAATCCAGCCCCCAATTGTCGTGAAATCAGCAGCAGAAGCTCAAACGCCGCTTCGCTGTGGAGAACCTGTCAAAAACACCTGACACGCAGCCTCGGAATAAATGGAACCAACAGTTTTACTGGGAGGCCCGAGAGGCATAAACACAACTAGGACTTTTGGGACGATTACCTTGGTTTCTTCTGACGGTTCACTTCCGGCATCCTTTTCAGTCACAGCCGGGCTGTTTGCTAAAATCCAATCTTTAATCTCTTTCCTGTGCAACACAGAAGGTTGATATCAAAACGTCTGACAGTTCACATTTGTTTGATATTTCACTTTATTCCATTTCTGTAGCTGCTTCACTTGAGGTGGCTGGCAAATCTTTTGTGCTTTTTAAGTAAATCATTTGCAATTCGACACTTCCGTGGTTCTCCTGCTTTCTCTGTATCGTACCGCTATGTAAGGTTTGGGGGGGGGGGATTTGCTTTTTTCAAATACCTGGCGGTGTCAATTACTAGCATGCCCCAAATGTTCTAGGCTCAGAAACCATGGTTTCAAGTACTCTGAGCTCAGAACAAGCCACGGGGTTTCTTCTTTTCATTTCATTTCATTCAAATAAGCCCTCTGACCATTTTTTTTAAAAAATTAGACAGCAGGCAACACTAGGAAGGTGCTATCAATTGATGGACTTTTGTGATGTTGAAAAACTAAATGCGGGAGCAGAGGCTTAATTATTTCCCACGGTAAAACACACAAAACATATTCTAATTTGTATCCGATCAGAATCCAACTAATCAAAATGTTCCAACAGATTAAAACTTTTCACATGGATATGTTTGCTTTCCAGCTCAAAAGAAACAATTTGCATTGTTTGCAATATTGATAAAGCATGTTTATGCTTAAAAGCTGGAAAAAAATCTAGCATAATGCAGCTAGACGAAACTTTGGACTGGCTAAAAGAACTGGACATTGAGCAAAATTTTAAAAAACCCAAGAATGCAGCCCAGAACAATGGAAGATTTGCCCAGCTGCAGTCCCCGAACACTTACAGGCTGCTGGGGATCAATTCCATTGTCTCAAATGCCTCTGGTGCTTTCGGTTCCTGGGTTTGCAGAGTGTCTGGTTCATCTTTTGGGACATCGGATTTCTCTAAACCAGGTGCAGGACTCTCAGGGGCTGGAATGTTGGGCGTGCACCCAAAAGTATCCAAGTCAGAGTCAAAGGTCATGCAGTCAGGGACTTTGGGAGCCCAGTTCTCACTCGTTTGAGCGCCAGTGTCACCCTTTTCAACGTTCTTCATTTCGTCCCTCTTTAGCTTTTCCAAGCTCCCAGGTGTTCCAATGGGCTGCAAGGGAGGGTTTTGTAAGTAGAACATTGGTAAGGGCTCAGGGTTGCGAGTTCTGTTAGAAACAAGGTTTGGGGCACGATCGCAACCTAGAACTTGCTCGGAGACGTCCTCATCGTGCAGTAAGGAGTCCAGGAGGGAGAAAAGATTCGTGGTTGTGCAGCCTGCTTCCTCAGAGGGAGTCTTCTCAGGAAGGCTTTGAGGAAAGGGCAACGAACCGCCTGAAAGGGAAAATCCCACTTGATTTTCTTCTCCAGTAAAATCTTCCCAAAGGGAGAGTTTCTGGCCGTTAGAGAAATTCAGGAGGCTGCCTGAGCTCTGAAATGGCTCAACATCATGGACAGCGGACGGGAAGGTTAGATCATCTGACAGATCAGGAAGCAGGACTTCCCCTTCTGTTGGCACTTTCTCTTTTCCGGAAGTAATCTCGGTGGTCGTTGTTGGTTGACTCCTGCCAAAAAGATACACAGGGTTCCCTTTACTTCGTTTTAGAGGATACCGACATTGAATGAAAGGAGGCTTCTGTCTGGCCCTCAGGAAGACCAAGGGGAAGAGGCTTTCATTCATGGGCTCCATTGTTTATTGACCAGGACATACGCTATCCACTTCTGAGAATCTGATATGAAGCAGAGTATTTGTCTTTCCTTGGAGGCTTTGATTTTACCCTTTACTCTATAGCTGATCTGAGCTCCATGGGAATAATTTGGAAATAAATATTGAATGAAACATCTGCAAGAAAACCACCAACCTCAGAGAGCTCTCCACCCTTGGCCACTTTTAAGATTTGTGGGCTTCAGCTTCCAGCTAGCAGCCTGGGGAATTCTGGGAGCTGAAGTCCACAAATCTTAAAAGTGGCTAAGGTTGGAGACTCTAGAGCAGAATGACCCTACAGATATACACGAAATATATAGGTAGCACATTGAATCATTATGCCCCAATTTCTGAATCTGATGCATTGGCGCAGTTTTCAAGACAGGATCATAATACCCACCCACCCCACCCGGCTACACACAGGAAAAGCAGACTTTAAATTTCTATATTAAAATTTTGGGTGGAATGTAAGATTAAGAACTGTTTCTCTGGAAGACTAAAAAGTACAATTTTTTTCTTGGGTCTTTATATTAGACAGAACTCTGGAGACTACAAGGAGAAACCCATGGCACCCACTGGTTCATACCTAAGACAGGCTGTAACTCAAATTTTCCCACTATTATTCCAGAACTTTACTAATTTCTACGGAAAGAGTATTCGGTCTAGTAAAGTAAAAACGAACAGCTCCAAACAGAATATAAGCCATCTTTGCATAGCCAGTTCCTAGAATCAATTCACTAAAGATTTTAAAGGAATCCTATGTGGAAAAACAGAAGGGTCTTCATGCCAACTCAGCAGGTTGTTGAGGCTCTTCATGTAGCTCATTAGAGAGAAGGCAAGAAGCACCAAAATGTTTGGCCGCAGGAGGTCCAAGTTAAGGCCACTATCCTTCCTTTCCAGATCTAAGGGCAAAGAATAGCCACCATATTTAAATATGCTTTTAAAACAACTAAGAACTTTTAGCACGTCCCCATTTCTCTGCGAAGGCTTCCAAGGGAATTTCTACACTCTTCCTTGTTTCAAAGGGTGAAATCTGCAAGGGAATGACATGCTTTTGGGAAAACAGACCGCCTTGCCACTTTTGGGGTCCACAAATTCTCCAAGAGTGTATTAGAGAAGTGGTTACTCACACAGCAGTGCACGTAGGCAAGAGAAGATTCTCTGTAGTCTCTGTGACAAGGGGAATTTCAGCCTTTTTCTTTCTATCCGGACTCAAGATCCTGCGAGTTTGAGGATCCCGCAGTGGGGTTTGGAAAGTTACCTGCAAAGGGGGCAAATAACCCTCTTCAGAACAGCAGGGAAAAAACTTACAACTGCATTTTTTTTACATATTTAAAAGGATATTAATATTCAGCTATTCCATTGCTAACAGAGACACCCAAGCCAGCAGGCCAAAAACTAGTTCTGTTAAAAGTTCCAGCAATAAAAATCAAACCAAACCAGAAAACTTTAAAATAAATCAGAGCTAAAGTAAAAATTAAGCAATAAATAAATATTTATTTGTATCCCTATGTCTTCTACAGTGTCAGTGGTGGAGATAACATAACAGTTAAGAGTCAGTTGGTTTCATGGCAAAGGCGTTAGGCTTGAAAACGCGAGTCCACAAGTTCAAGACCCACTTTAGGCACGAAAGCCAGAGTGATTTTGGGCCAATCACTCTCTCTCAGCCCAACTCACCTCACAGGGTTGTTGTTGTTATGGAGAAAATAAGAAGAGGAAAGTATGTTGGATATATTCACTGCCTTAAGTTATTTGTAAAAACAACAAAGGTGGGATACAAATAAATAAAGCAATAAAAAACATGCTGTGATACCAATTGTCCAAACCCACTTGGGCATCTCTTTTGCATCCACCCACCCACCCACCCCAGCTAATAGCTTCTTCTAACGTGGTACCCAGCTGAATCTTCTGGGATACAGTGTTCTTTCTCCCGCCTACAAAACCGATAGGGCCCCTTTCCCCTGCTGCTTCTGGTGTAAAATGGCTAGACAACAATGCGTACCTTCATAGGCTTCACTATTCCCTTTGGGGGCAAATTTTCTTTCTGCGACAACCGAAGGATAGAAGTCTTGCATGTGGTCTCTGCAGGCGTCAAAAGCATCGCACAGTTTCCAGCCGGCATGTCCTCACCCGCATTTTCTCCATTTAAAGCATGTAGGCTCATCCTGAAAGGCAAAGCATGTAAAGCACATCATCTGAGAACTTTGCTGCTTCAGGATAGCAGACGGATTCCAGATCCCCCAATTCATAATTCTGTCTGTCCAGGGTAGCAGCACTGGAATGCAACAACTTCTGAACACAGCCTTCCCCACTGGCAGCAGTTTTGAAATTGGACTCAGGAGCCGGAATGAAAAACCTGCATCCCCTTCAGGTTTGCAAAAAATGGCAGCATTAATAAGCTTTCCCCATCAGCGGTCAGGACAGGGCCTTTCAGCAGAGGCTCTATACTTCTTTAAAACACAGAATTGAAAATAATTCTAGCTTGAGCCAGATTCTCTCCCGAAGGGTATTTTTCTGCAGGAGAATATATTCTGCGGTCAGGAAGAAAATTATTGGCAACAGTACTGCAGGCCACTTCAGCTGACTGCTATCTGCAGCTCGGCGGTTCAAATCTCACCGGCTCAAGGCTGACTCAGCATTCCATCCTTCCGAGGTGGGTGAAATGAGGACCCAGACTGTGGGGGCGATATATGCTGACTCTGTAAACCGCTTAAAGAGGGCTGAAAGCCCTATGAAGCGGTATATAAGTCTAACTGCTATTGCTAAGAATACTCCCTTAATTAATCTCTTAATTCAAAGTAACCATATTTTTCATAATTGTACATGTACCCCTGATGAGGTTACCTAGTTTGGGTAATGAAATGCCTGCAAGAAAATAACCAAGCTCAGGGAGCAGCAAGGACTCCTACTGTTTATAAATATATAAATTATGACTATTTTGATATTTATAAATAATCTGCATAACTTTGTCCGGCAGGAGGTGGCCATTTTTTAAAAGTGCAGGCAATTCATTGTTGTTATACAGGTAGGCTTCAACTTACAAGCCCAATTGAGCCCAATATGAATGTTGGTAAGTGAGGATTTGATTGCGAGCTTTGCCCCATTTCACAACTTTCCTTTCCACAGTTGTTAAGTGAATCATTGCAATTGTTAAATTAGTTAACATGCTTAAGAGAATCTGGCTTCTTCAATTGACCTGTCAGGTTGCAGAATGGATCCCGTGACGGTCATAAATGTGGAGTGTAAATCTGCTTATAAATCACGTGACGGTGGGGAAGGCTGCAACGTTAAGCGTGAAAAATGGTCATAAGCCCCTTGTAACTTTGAACAGTTGCTAAACAAACTGTTTTAAGTCAAGGACTCCCTGTACTTGGAAACAATTTGCACCATTTTGTCAGGCAGGAGGGGGCCCTTCTTTCAAGAGCTCAGCCTCCATTCTTGCTGAATTAGAACCCAGAGGCAGGGATAGAACAGAATAGAATTCTTCATTGGCCAAGCGTGATTGGACACACAGGGAATCTGTCTTTGGTGCAGATCCTCTCAGTCTGCATCAAAAGACAAGGTGCTTTCGTCAAGAACCATCAGGGACGGCACTGAACGACAGTCATGGATAGGAGGGAGCCCATTCAATGCTTAGCATGTGTGTGTGTGTGTGTGTGTGTGTGTGTGTGTGTTGTGGCCAGGCTTACTATTTTTTTTTTCCCTTTTTAATTATTTAATTTCTTTTGTATGAAGTTTCCATATCTTTGTAAGCTGCCTTGAGTTGCCAGGTGTGAGTAGGCGGCAATATAAATTCTGTAATTATTATATTAATACATATATACATATACACACACATATTCATACACACCCTATACATACATATATACACAAACACATACACACACACACATATTCATACACACACTATACATACATATATACACAAACACATACACACACACACATATTCATACACGCACTATACATACATATATACACAAACAC